AACAATTTGAAATTTTGTATCTCAAATCAAGTTGATTAACTTTGTTACCATGTAAGTTAATCTAGTTTTTGGTTTATGATGATGGTGGTGATAAATCAGATTGTCAATCAGACTGTCAACAATCAAAGTATCTTAATCATTTACTTGATTAGATTCAAACTAATTACATATCAGATGATTGACTTAACTCTATGATGAAGGTTAAGATAATATCTATTGAGTGAAAAGCCAAACTAAAGGCAATTCAAGTCTATTGATTAAATAGTTAACAGATTAACCCTGTTTACAATCAGCTAATCAACACAGAGATTCATTTGATCAATATGAGCATAAATCAACAATCAAGTAAACTGTAATCAATAGTGGCAAAAAATCACTAACCCTTTTTTTTACTTGTTGTTGACATTGACAGGAATTAAAATCTGACAAGAAAATGAAAAGATTTTCAAAGTAAATTAATTTAATTAACGATTTATATGCTAATCATAAAGGTTCTTAGATTATATATTTACCTTAATCAAATTAACCATCAATGAAAAGATTACAATCAAATTAGTCTCTCCTTAAGTATTCAGATATAATAATACATGTACATGTATAAATTGATAGTAATCAAGTTAATTGATTATAATCAAAAGCTACAACAATCTACAAATTGAGGATAATTATTTCTGGTTTCTTTCCAATCATTATTAATCATAATGATGAATAACAATCAATTCTGAAGATAATGATTATGGTGATGATTATCCCATGTGATTAAGCATAAATAAACATGATAATCAAGTCTCAGGGTGATGATTGTTGATATTCAGGTGACATTTGTTTACACATGAAAATAACTTGGAATCTGAATATTAATCTGAAGAAAAACCCTTCTGGCTCATGGTAAATAATATTCACTGAAAATGCTGAACAATTCAGAATCACAACTGTTATCATAACTGAATTGTTGTTGTTATTGATGATGATGATTGTGTTGATACTTTGATTACCACCCAATTCTGATGTAATACCTTGAAAATGAACAGGATGAGAGAGAGAGAAGTGATATTCATAAATTGTTTAGGTTCAGTTGAGTTCATTGTTTTTCATGATATGGATAAACCTGTAACCAGGGGAAGAGACGGAAAAAGGTAACAAGGAAAGCAAAGTTAATGTTATCATTTTCCTTGATTGTGAATGTTGATGATAAACAATAATCATAATGATGATATTGAGTATTCAGATAACGTATTCAGATAGAGGGAAAAGTTGGAATGATGATGAAGATGAGGATCATCAATAGTTACATATATTCAAATGCATTGCATGTAATCAAGAAAAGTGAAATAACAACAATCTGATTCAATATTCAAATTCATTTACATGATTATTTGTATTCTCTGATTAATTCAAGAAAAATAATTCATCTTAGTTTTGTTTTCAACTAACTATCTTTCACCATAATCATCATTATCTTCATTATCATTTCTATTTTTTTTTATATCATATCACTTTTATTACCTGAAGAAAAAGAAAATTTTTTTGTCATGACATTTCAGATATGAAAAAATGATCATTTTGTTTCAATCATGATGATAAAAGTGATAACAGTGAGTAAGAGACGAGGATGGAAAAATATTTTTCTTATCCCTGGGAGTTATTAGTTGATAAACTTAAGTTCCAAGGTAATGGAAACCATGGAAACAACTAATCTTATTTTGAGAGAGAGAGAGAGAGAATGATGCTCATCATCATCATCAAGACATAAGAGGATAAAAGATGCAGATGATGATGAATAAGCAGAAAGATGAAATTTAGTCTTTTTAAAAGTTATTATTATCCTCGAAAAGTTTTGCAATCTCAATTGATTTACTTTCTTGAAACAAAAAATGTTAGATTAGTTAGAAGTCTATTAACAATTTAGAAGCAACAATTAGCTAAATTGTGAGATCAATTTAAATTGTAACGCACAATTTACTTGATTATTATTAAACTAATAACATTACGTTAATAATCAATATTTCTCAAGATTGATTAATCAATTGTCTCTAGTGATTAGAATTGCTAATCATTTTTTTTATAGATAATTAATTATCATTATCAATATGTTTATACTCACAACGGTTGAGTCAACAATTTGTTAATTGTCTTTTGGGTAATAATAATAAGCACAGACCCTGAAAAACAATTAACTCTTAATTGCTTATTGTCGGTTGAAGTGAAATTCAGATGAGTTTCGGTTGACACTTACAATCAGTTTTAATCATCATTGTGGATTTAAATTGTTAGTCAGTCTTTTCACATCAATTAATAGATTAGCATGATGATTGTTGTAACAATTTAACTTATCAAATAATCAAATCTAGTAATCAAATTACTAATCATGATTCACCATTGGGTGTTAGCTGTCAAAGTCACGCTACCTTTGAATTCATTGGTTTCCATTGGTTACCATTCATTGAGAATCAGAACTTTTTTTTGTTGCTTACAATTGATTCTGCTTGTATGCTGATGACTTTGGGAAATTATTGTTCACAATCAATTGATTGTTGAGAACAAAAAAAAATTAATTCTAATTGAATCTAAATGGTAAACAATTAAGGTTAATGAATGTCAACAATTGATTTATTGTTTCCCGGAAATGAATTTAACTTGATCAGCATTAATATTATTTATTTTGATCACAATTAAAAGTTGATAATGATTACAATTAACTCACAAGGGAACTGATCAATTGTAATTTCATGAAATAATGAAGAAAACAAAAAATTGATATAATAACATTCAATGAAAGTTAATTGCTTAAAGCTGGTCAGAATCATGATGTTCAGTTATATTTATTATTAGATGAACAATTTATGAACAAGAGGAAAACAATTTAAGATGAAATCAGCAAGAATGGTGAAATCATCATGATAATCGTGATTAGTTTTCACAAACTTCCATGAATGAAAATCAATATAAGATGAGAGAAAAGGAAAGAGAGAGAAAAGTTTCAAACTCAGCTAAAAACCTCATGATTATTATCATGATATTGTAACGGATAAGGAGAAAAATTTATTCCATCGGGATTATTAACATTGGAAACAATTTATCCAATCAAGTATGATTTAGATGGAAAAATAATCAACAATCAAGATTAGATTATTACTTTTTGATTATCATCATGATTTAATCTTAATCTGAATAAGAAACGTAGACAAACATTGAAATTGAACTGAATCTCATCTTAGAATTGTATTAATCTTATCAAGATAATAAATACAATTAATGGTAATTGAAATGAGCTCAAAATGGGTCAACCTAATTTTATTGACCATAAAAAATCAAACAATCATTTTCACTATTCTCATGTTAATCATCATCTTAACCATTCAGAACTTTCAATTTCAAGCTTCACTGGATTTTCACCTCAAACGCTATAAGATTCATGGTAAATCCATGATAAGACTTTAATATATCACTTTTAATTAAAGTTATAATCCTGATTTGAGAGAAACTTTTCCCAACAATTTATATATAATTTACTAGGATTTTCATGAGATTTTATCACCTTCATCTTAAATGATACAATTATCTTATGAAAAATTTGATTGTTTTATATTCAATTTCATGGATGAAGTTTATTATATTATATAATATGTAATAGATGACATTATATACAATGTAACAATCATCTGAGAGATTCAGTTGTTGTTTTTCAATTCAGAGATAATATGATGTTCATGGTAAATTATATTCAACTATTGAGGTTATCACTTTTGTGTCTGGCTGATTGTGATTATATTTAATAATAATAATCACAATGATGTACATAGACATGATTATATTGTGAATGCAATGTTATCTTATTGTTGATCAGAAAAGTCAATCAGAAACTATTTCCTTTACATGAACATGATGAATATACCCTGAGGGTGTATAACCTGAGAATAGTAAAGACGATGGAGATGCTAAAAGATAAAGAGAAAAGAAAATTTCTACAATAATGATTTGATTCTTTTTCTCTCATAATATGTATACCTTTGGATCTCAGAACACATGATAACAAGAACTTTATCAAAGAAGATGAGAAATATAATTAAGATAATGATGAGAGAGAGAGAGAGAGAATGAAGAAATTCTCTCAGAGTATAAATTGCCTATCATCATGAACTTTATCATGAACACATAAGAGTTACATGAATCGAGAGAAAATGAATTTAATCTAATAATTCAACAATTCATTTAACTTGTCCGGTTAATCGTAACAATCAACAACATGTATACACACAAATTCAATGATGAAATGATGAGTAAATGATTAACACATAATAATCATTAACTCAAATGGGTCAAAAATTTTTCATCCATCAGATTAATCTGATAATCTGCTTGAAAATTATTCCCTTTCATTGTTTCAATGATAATCAACGATTTCCAGGTAAATCATCATCATATTAATGAAATTTACTTTTCATCACCATGTTAATATCATGATTACAATAACCCAATCTAAATGAAATAACGATTAACTATTAAAATAATCATACCCATAAGTATGATAAACTATTATTATCATCATCATCTTCATAATAACCATGATGATGATGATGATGATGAACATTATAATAGTTAGACTACAATTAACTTATCCAATTATGTTAAGAGCATGTAAAACCGTTATAAATCAAGAAAAATGATTTAAACGTAATTTAGATTCAGACAATTTATCCTTCAAATTTTGTTTGCTGATCTCAATTTAATGATAACAATCAACTGTGACATTAACTTTTTAATACTAAATTGTGATTGATAACATTTATCACCAAGATAATTGTTAACCACAATTAGTATTAATACATGATAATAGTAATTGTAAAATGTTGATATTATATCAACCACATCACTTTAACCAGAATTGGGGGATTAATCATTTGATTATTATATTTTTTTATTGATCTCAGTGATTAGTTGATGATTATCATGATTGTTAATACTAATTGATTGTTTTCCTACCTTAATTATGTAATTAGAAAATAGTATCGCCCAGGAAAAGCGTCATCAAAGGAGGATGAAATTATCTTCATCTTCACCTGTCACTTTTTCATCATCTAATTCAATTTTATCCTCATTATCTTCATCGGCACGGATTAACCTAATTAAAGATGAATCTGGACGTAATCGGATGCTACAAGAAATTGATGATTTAACTCATTTTAATGGTAAACCTCAATATCCTGATGCAATTTATTATTCATGTGGATCAATTGAATGTGAGGCTGGAGGTTCATGTGTTGAAAATGAAGATTATGCTGACCACCGAGTCCGTTGTAGATGTCCATTGGGTCGAGGTGGATTTTTTTGTGAAAAACGTAAGTATAATTAACGTATTTAAATACACAAGACAAGTTGATTAACTGGAAACAAAATTAACCATTTATTATATTGAATCACCGATTAAGACTAAATTGTAACCATAGTTATCAATCAATCTTATCCCAATGACCACAATATTCAAAAGGTAATACAATCCTTACCTTTTATTATAAATATTACTCATTAGGATTGATGATATTTAGTTAATTGTTGAGGATTATATTACTATTGAATAATGTATATTAATAAATTGTTTGATAAGATTGATATTGTTACATATAAGTTTGTCATCTATCAGATTTGTTTCAATCATTTCCCTGACTATTATTTATTAATGAATTATTAGTAAACAGTAAAAAAAACAATATATGATTAATTTGATTGATTGAAATTAAATATAAATTCAAGTTAATTTAATTCAGTTGGTTAACTGTGTTATTTTTTGATTATTTTACCAAGAGACAGAAAATTGTTTTAAGTTGAAAGATAATCAATTTCAAATTTGATTGTTGATTGTTGATCTAGAACTTTGAATGATTGGACAATCGATAGATCAACTCGTAAATGTTAATTGAATTTAGTGAATTGTTCAAACAAATTGTTCAATTAAATTGATGGTGGAAATAAAATCTATATAAATGAAATAAGAGTAAATTTTGAACAAAAAAAAAGTAGAAACAGATTAATAGACCAAGAGGATTAATAGAGAGATGAAAATGAAGAAAACATATATAAGATGATTGGTTGATGATTTTAAATTGTTCATTATAAATGAAGATGAAGATTATTTCATGATGATGATGATGATGATGAAAATGAGTTTTCAGGGCAGATATTATATGAAATGTAAGACACATTTGGTTCCAATCATCTTTGTATTTATAAACTTGATCAATGTTCATTTGTATTCCTTGCTCATGATTCGGTGACTTTTCCAGTATAAGTTCAGAGTATTTTCCTTTCCTTTGTCCATCATTATCATTATAATCATCGACAGAAACTGACCCCATCATCTTCCCTTTTCACATTCTCTGGCCATCATCATCCAAAAGTATCCAATTTCATACCAATCTATTCATCATCATCCTCATCCTTTTCTTTCCGTCATAATAATTTTACCTCAATCTTTTTTTTTCCTTCTCTTCATCTTCCAAATCATTGAAACTCATTTTTCATATCGATAAAGCATCTTCTTCATCCTTCTCATCATCTTCATCTTTTTCTCTACATTCTTTTCTTACCTTTATCTTCATCCTTTACTCTCTCTCTCTCTCCCTCGACTTTATATTCTCAATCCTGGATTCGAGAGAGGAAGATATTATTTCACTTCCATTCTTTGTCCTGGATAAAAATGTAATAATGAAACAGATAATTCAATTTAGTTTCCAGAATTTTACCAATCATCATCATCATCTTCTTCTTCTTCTTCCACCTCATCATCATTGAAATGATTATTCTTCCACCTTTTCTAATCATAATGAGAGAAATTGAGAAAATCATCATCAGAATATGAAACATGAAACTAAATTAAACTAATTTATTCTCATTTAATTCGATACTTACTATTATTGTTTAGATGATTTAGGAACAATTAATACCACAATTAGTAAATTAATTGTTGCAAATAAAAATAACCAACCAAATTCAACATCAGTTATCATTGTTGATTAGATTGATTGTATTCTTGATACTTGATCCAAACACAACAATGATAATCACAATTAATTGCTTTTTTCCATCTCACTCTGTTTACTCAATTCAAATCAAATTTACATTCTAGATTTATATCGATAAACTTTAATTAAATCAGCCTTTCAAATGATTGGTGAATTCAGATGAATGTTAATTAGCTTGAAGTTGAAATTGTTTTAATGGTTTATTATAACCTCTTCGTAGCAATGGAAGTGCGTTTTCCTCGATTTCGAGGTCGATCATATCTTGCCCTGCCAACACTTCGAGATGCCCATAAAACAATGCAAGTGACCATTGAATTCCGACCAGAATATCATGAAGGTGTTTTACTTTACAGTGGAGAGAATCAAAATTTGGAAGGTGATTTCATAGCAATCATATTAAACCAAGGATTCGTGGAGTTCAGGTAATTATTTACAATTAATGACACCCGAATGTCAGAATTCAAATTATATTTGATAACCAATTGTTTCTTGTTATTATTAAAATTTTCTTAAAGGTTTGACTGTGGTATGGGTGAAGGTATAATTCGTAGTGAAACTCCTGTAATATTAAATTCTTGGAACAGTTTAACAATTTATCGAGATGGTTGGTCAGCATGGTTACAATTAAATCAAGAGAAACAGATTCCCGGCCAATCACAGGGACTTTTTTCCCGAATAACATTTAAATTGGAATTATTTCTCGGTGGATCACCAAATATTAGTTTAATCTCTTCAAGAGCAAATAGTCAACGAGGTTTTATCGGCTGTGTCCGAAGATTGGACATAAATGGTCATTCCTATGATTTCCGATCAGATAGTCGAGGTGATGCCATTGATGGAGTTGATACAGGTATTAAATCAGAAGAACAACATCTAAATCCTTCAAATCCACAATCCTAATCTCTTTTTTATTGAACTTTAAAAAAAATCATTCTAATTCGTACTTTTTATTGTTTCTTTTTTTCGTCTTTCTCTCTCCATTCTCATTCTATTGACAGATGAATGTAATTCTGATGTTTGTAGTAACACTTCCTGTTTAAATGGTGGCCAATGTGTAGCCACATCACCAGAGAAAGGGATTTGTATGTGTCCATTAGGTTTTGCTGGTAACCACTGTGAACGTAGTAAGTATTTTCTCCCTCACTAACATGATCATCATCTTTTCCCTGTCTCCTCTATCGATTCATATATATTTGGAGTCCTCAGATTCCAATGTACATTATTTTTGCTCTTACTCACATATAATACCTTCTCTACGGTTGTTCTTTGTCAATGTTTCTTTTCTCATTTTTTTCTTTGCTTTTCTACACTTCACTTTCCTTCTCATCCTCATCCTTCCTCTTCCTTCTTTCTCCTCCTACTCTCTCTCTCTCTCACACACACACACTCTCTCTCTTTCTCTCTGTATCATTATGATTTTCTCTCATCTTATTGCTTTTTTCTCTTCTTCTTCTCACAGAATCTGATTTTACTATTCCCTCTTTCAATGGTTCCTCCTACCTTCAATTCACCGGTTTAAAGGAAACTTGCCTCTCATTCTTTGAAATTCAAATGATATTCAAACCTCGAGTGCCTAATGGAGTCTTACTGTACAATGGTAATCGATTGGATGCTGGAGGTGACTTTATCTCAATCAATATGGTCAATGGTTACATTGAATTTCGCTTTGATCTAGGCAGTGGTCCAGCAATAATTAGGTAAAAGATTTGAGCCTCAGACACAGAAAAAAATAATAATGGAGAAAAAAAAGTTGAATGAACTTTTTTTCTCTCTCTTTCTCACTTCTTTTTGCTTATTCTTTGCCTATGGAAGGCTTCAGGCTAAAGAATAGGAAAAGGAAATGATTCAACCACTTGAAAAGAATAGAAAATGAGATTTTTCATGGATTATCTTTTTACTTTTTTCTTCTTTTTGTTTCTTCACATGTGTCAATCTACCAGGAGTCGTGAAACAATTGAACTAAATCGATGGCATAACCTATTCGTTTCTCGTGCCGGTCGAAAGGGTTGGCTTCAAATTGACAATCAACCGATTGTTAGTGATTTCAGTCTTGGTGGTTTTACACAATTAACATTATCACTTAACTTGTTCCTCGGTGGATTATCTGATGAAAGATGTTTCATCTAATTCAGCAATTAAAGATTCTTTCTCTGGATGTATTGAGAAGATTATTATCAATGGAAGATTAATCATGTTCCTTGATGAGGTGCTATCAGGAGTCAATGTAATTGACTGTCCGAACCATTGTTCAAATCAACATCGATGTTCATCACCACCACCAAAACCAACAAACAATTTTATATCAACATTATCTTCATCATCATTATCAACCCATTCCCTTTTATCATCAACCAAAACATACTCATCATCAGTGACTAAAAGTAGTAATAGTAAATCAACAGACTCTGTGATAGATACATCGCGCTTAATCAACAATCACTTTAATCCATTCTGATTCTTTCATTTGCAACTTCTCCCTTCTCTCAACTTTCTCTCTCACTCATCAATCGACATTAACTATCTCTCTTCTACTCTTTTACTCTTGAAAAATCTCCACTCTCTCTCTCTCTCCCTCTCTCTTTCACTGTCTCTTTTTTTTCCAAAAAAAAACAAAACAAACGCAATAAAGAAGATGATTTTTGTAAAAACAATCGCAATTATAATAAAACCATTTCGACTTTTTTTCCTTACAAAATTTCATTCTAATCCTTAAGCTCATCTTTAATCTTTTTCTCCTAAAACTAATCCAATCTAAACGATGATTGATATTTTGGTTCCAAAAGAATTCACTAGATGTCTTTAGCGTCAAGAGATTTTGATTGTTGGTTTTTTTTGCTCAAAAACTTAAATCAAATTAGAAGAGCAATTAAAAAGTTCACAATCGAATATTGGTTAGAATTGGATCAGAAATAATTCGCCTGATCGTTCAATGAGATATTCGAATCTGTTAGAACTTTTTTTCATCTCAACTAATTCTCTAAAAGTTTTTCAATCATCTTGATTAGGTCAATGGAAAACGTTGAATTGTGTTATCATGTTTTTCACCACAAAGATAAATCATTGGAATGGAATTGGAATCGATTCTTTTTCATTTCTTATCGAAATTGTTAGAACAAGAAAAAAGCACGTACTTGAAGGGAGATGAAAATTTTGACAATTCTTTGTTTTGTTCTAAAATAAGATCCTAAACTAATCAATATCATGGAAGATGGCAGCATGATTCTTGTTGGACCAGTTAGAATGGAAAAAAAGTTCTGAACAGAATCTGAAGTTTCGATTTTTTCCTCCTTCCATCGAACTCAAGTTCGAAACTTTGTCTCGAAACTAAAAGTTGAATTAAATTCTTGGTTCGATTGTTGTAACATTCAACTAATTAAATATGCTGATTTTTACAATTCAATCAAAGATAATTTAATTTGCATACCTTGATTACATTAGATTTTGTTTCAACTAATCAATCAATTGGTAACCACTTTTTTCACTTTAAAAAGTTAATTAATCAAAGGCTTTTTAATACAATCAATTATTTCATGTTGATAGTCAATTTTTACTACAAATCAACAAACACTTTGACTGTAAATCAAAATTTAATTGTTAATTGAAGTGTTAATTGAACCAAAAGAGATGAAAATTTAATTGAAAAAAGTACAAAAATTAAAATTCGTGAGACAATTAAAATTAACCAACACTCATTTAATATCATCAACACATTTTCCTCACACAAACACACAACAATTCAGTAAATTACCTGGGCCGCTATACTTTAATCAAGGTAACAATTGATTAATTATTATGAGACTGTGTTAAAAACTAAATTTAATTAACAACAATCAAGCGAGAAAAGGTTAGAAAACAAAATTAGATTAAATTTGTTTACCTTGATCCTAATCCCTGTGAACTTTTTGATGATGATAATGATAATCATCTCATCATCGCCCAAGACAAGGATGATGAGCCAGAAGATAAATTTACCCTTAAGGGCAAATACATAAGCAGATGCCAGTTATTTTTAGCATGGATTTCAATTAAATCAACCTTGGATTAAGGATCAACAACAAACATAGATTAAGAGTCAAAGGTTATATCATTTTGATTATCTAATAGCTACATAGAGATTCATGGGAACCAAATGATTAGCCTACACCAACAGCACCCACAACCATACACACACACACACAATCAAAAATGATCATTTGTTTATGATGATGATGAAGATGAGGATAAGTGCAAATTCATTGAATCAGTAATTTTCATCTTACCTGTCAACAAATATTTCTGTTTAATTAGTTATGATAAACTTTGAGCCCACACCTTTACATGATTATCACCATGATAAGCTAGAATTAAATTCTTCATGATAAATAGTGAACTTGAGTATCACAAGTACGACTGAATGTAAAGTTCATGGAAAAGAACATGAAAAAACATTCAACTTCTCATCATTAGAACTGTTTTTCCTTCTTCATCATAACATTTTCCTCGAACTCAAACTTAGAGAGAGAGAGAGAGAGAGAGAGAGAGAGAGAGATATAGAGAAACTGAATATTTCCAAGTATTCTCATCATTTTTATCATTTCTTTTCATGATTATGATGATCAGAACTTTATATTTCCATAACTATTTCGGAACAGAAATGTGAAGATTCCCTTGTGAAAAATTACAACTTGAACTTACGATTAGAACTTTTTTACCACTGATTCATTATTAATAGTAAATGGATTGAGAACTTTCAAGAATCATGATAATCATGATCATGAGAAACAAAATACTAACCTAATAATGGTTCACTGATTCATCAAATGAAACCAACCATGAATTAATTAGCTTAACGTTAATTATTTGAACAAAAAAAAAGTTCCTAAATTTTTAGTTGATTGTTGACAATTTACTTAACCATCATCACTTATTGATTAATTTAGAAACTAACTAATAACAATGAAAAAGGAAGAGCTCCAATTTTAATAACAATATCAATCTTCAATCTGCAATAACTATCAACAATTTAATCAAAATTAACCAAACCAATCACTCTGACGGTTGTTGACAAAGTTAATTGTAATTAAATTGTATTATACAGATCATCAGGATAGGAAATAATATTAGATTAGAAATTGTGATTTACTGAAAGTTAATCAAATACTCAAATTAATTGTTCAAAGGTGATGCAACTTAATGAATCAAGAGGTAGAAAAAAAGTTCTAACAAAAAATTATCGAGTTCTAATAATATTATGAAACATCAATCAAAGTTTTTTTTATTCGTTTTCTTTTTTAAATTATTTCATGGTTACTGTTTATTCAGTTGGTGATGAAGATGATGATGATGGTGAGGATAATTATCATGATGAGGATGTGACTGATATGTATTCAAATACCCTAAGGGTAAATATTGTCCATATTGAAACAGATTAGTTAACATTAGATGATGAATTTATTATCATTATCATCATCATCATGGGTATTAATGGTTAATCAACTTGATGGTGATTTAAATTTAACCGATAATATAATAATAATAATAATCTATTGATTGTTTCATCTTAATTTACCTGAAAATACACTGATTGAAATGATGATGGAAACGGATTAATGATAATTTATTGGGAGTTTTTAAATTTGAATCCATAATTAACCAACAATAATCATCATTATGATTACTATTTAAATATGAATTCAGTGTATGTTAATCAAAAGGTTAAATTATGCCTAAGGGCAAATCATTTCATTTCATCGTTATGTTAATCATTATCATTTCACTTTGCATCTTGTTCATTTAATCATTATCATCATCATCATTTAATGATATTGTAACAATTTAAGTAATTACTTGTCTCCTCTTATGCAATCAGTTTTGATTGTAATACAAATAAAATGATTTTATCACGATAACTGTAATTGTGGTAATACAGTTAAAACCACAGAGTTAATTTCAATGTTAATTGTTGATATAATTAACATTTGAAAAGGTTAACTGATAATGTTGTTAAATTGTTTCTATTTGCTGATTTCTTTTTATGTATACAATTAACATTTCCTAATGATTAGTTTGCGTTTTACAAACTGGACTTGGGTCAAGCTTATTAATCACTTTCGCTTAGGTGATTTCAATTAAATCGCATCCCGGATCTTGTTAACAATTAACAACATCATCTTAATCATCACGATGGTTTTAATTTTCATACAATATTTATGAAGAAATTAACAAAAAAAAAACGAAAACGTTTAATTGTGATCTTATTATCAAAAGAAAGTGATTAAATCTGAGGTGAAAATTAAGGTGAGGTATTAACAATTAAAGGGATAAGCTAAGATTAAGATTATCTTGGTGGTGATGATGATGATGAGATTAAGAATATGATTAAGATGATTATTAAATTTTCTATTCGATTTTTATTTTTATTTATATCATGTGATATTCGTGGGCCTCAAATGAACATCAATCCCTTGGTAATCATTGACTCCCTTAGGTTGACATTTGACTCTTCAAGTGGGTTAACCTTGTTGTTAATTGTATCACTTGAGGGTAAAGATAGTTGATCAACCTCTTTAATTAATGATTCATTTGATTATTTGGTTAATTTAATATGTGATCAGAGAGACAAATATTAATAGTAATTATTAACATTACTATTACAATTTATTAACTGATTGTATCAAATTTTAAATCATGTTTAATTAGCTAAATCATTATCACAATCATCATTTAATAATAATAATAAAAGTCAACTAGTTAATTATTATCATCATTTAGAAAATAAATATAATATTTAATTATTATTAACTTAATTGTAAGTCATTAATGATTAGCAATTTGTCATCATGTTTTTAATAATCTTAATTATCAAATTTTAACCAAATGATTACAATCAACCTTAATTAGAAAGAGTTAATCACAATTGGAAATCATGAAAAAAAAAGATAAACAATTTTTTTCTTCAATCAAATTTCAAGTTTCCAATTTAATCAAACTAATTGATTAGCAATAAAACCGATGAACTTTTTTTGGATAAGATGGTGATAATGATTAAGATTCTTTTAATTGTAAATTACTTGTCACTCAAAAATTACTATTAATAAAAGTTTATTTAATCAGTATCGAAAAAAAGTTCTAATCAAAAGAGAGAAAAAAAACTTTCGACTTCGAATTTTATCTCTCTCTCTCTCTCTCTCTCTCTCTCTCTCTCTCTCAGCTGATTATGATAAAGTTCAATTCAGCTCTTACCCAGAGGGCTCGATGATAAACTGGAATTGAAAATGATAAAGTTAAAAAACATCAACAATCAAAATCTTAATCATAATTTAAGGTCATAATCAGATTAGTAAAGTAAAAAAAAGTTATCATTTTTTTTGTGGTTAAAGTTTTTTTCATTACCTGAATGAGATGAACTTTTTGTTACTTTAATTAACCCATTCAGATGATTGAAATGATGATAACAATTTAAATGGATGATTAGATTTCATCATAATCAACAAAACGCCCAATGTGTAAATTGAATCTCTTATATCATTGGATTAAAATTGATTTAAAATCTTCAACATCTTGACTTTTTTTATTAATTTGCTTTTCAATTTCAATCAGTTGATTCAGCTATTCATTTAGATGATGCTGATGCGAATCAGAATCTTAATTAACAGATCTTTTGTTGATTATT